CAGCACAGACTAGCCCGTATACCATAACATCTATCAAGACACAGACTAGCCCTCCAACTAAGCATCGTATCAGCACAGACTAGCACTCTACTGAACACTATCAGCGCAGGACTATCACACTACTAACATCAGCTCAGACTAGCCACTCTACAACATCTATCCACTCAGCTAGCACTATACTAACATCATACATCACACAGACTATCGACTCTACTAACATCTATCCAGCACAACACACCCTACTAACACTATCAGCACATGACTAGCACTCTACTAACATCAGCAGCGAGACCAATCCTCAACTGAACATCTATCAGCACAGACAAGCACTCTTACTAACATCTACAGCTCAGACTGACACTCTAGCTAACATCAGCTCAGACGACACTCTAGTTCTAACAATCGTACGAGCTCAGACTAGCACTCTACTAACATCAGCACAGACTAGCACTCTGCTAACATCTATCAGCTCAGACTAGCACTCTACTAACATCTATCAGCTCAGACTAGCACTCTGCTAACATCTATCAGCACAGACTAGCACTCTACTAACATCTATCAACACAGACCTAGGCACACACAAACATCTAACGAACACAGACTAGCACTCTACTAACATCTATCAACACAGACTAGCACTATACTAACATCTATCAGCTCAGACTAGCACTCTACTAACATCTATCAGCACAGACTAGCACTGCTCAAACATCTATCAACACAGACTAGCACTCTACTATCAGTCAACACAGACTAGCATTCTAACTAACAACTATCCAGCACAGACTAGCTCGTTCTACTAACACTAACAGCACAGACTAGCATTCTACTAACATCTATCAGCTCAGACTAGCACTCTACTAACATCTCTCAGCACAACTAGCACATCTACAAACAACTATCAGCTCAGAACTAGCAACTCCTACTAACATCTATCACGCTCAGACTAGCACTCTACTAACATCTATCAGCTCAGACTAGCACTCTACTAACATCTATCAGCTCAGACTAGCACTCTACTAACATCTATCAGCTCAGACTAGCACTCTACTAACATCAGCACAGACTAGCACTCTACTAACATCAGCTCATCTAGCACTCTAACCATTCACTTCAGACTAGCACCAAATAACATCAGCACAGACTAGCAACTCCCCCTAACATCAGCACAGACTACACTCTACTTACGTCTACTGAACAACAGCACGAGAGCTATCACGCACTAACAACAGCACGACAGCACTCTACTAACACAGCTCAGACTAGCACTCTACTAACATCAGCTCAGACTAGCACTCTACTAACATCAGCACTCAGACTAGCACTCTACTAACATCAGCACAGACTAGCACTCTACTAACATCAGCTCAGACTAGCACTCTACTAACATCAGCTCAGACTAGCACTCTACTAACATCTATCAGCTCAGACTAGCACTCTACTAACATCAGCTCAGACTAGCACTCTACTAACATCTATCATCACGAGACTTAGCACACTAAACTAACATCTACTATCAGCTCATACTAGCACTCTACTAACAACTAGTCAGCACAGACTAGCACCTACTAACATCTATCATCCACAACAGCACTGTTACTAACATCTAACAGCTCAGACTAGCACTCTACTAACATCTAATTCAGCTCAAGAATAAGCACTCTGACTAACATCTATCAGCACAGACTAGCACTCTACTAACATCTATCAGCTCAGACTAGCACTCTACTAACATCTATCAGCACAGACTAGCACTCTACTAACATCTATCAGCTCAGACTAGCACTCTACTAACATCTATCAGGCACAGACAAACTAGCATCTTTGCTACTAACACTATCACACAAACTAGCACTCTACTAACATCTATCAGCTCAGACCTACACTCCTACAAACATCTACAGCACAGACTAGCACTCTACTACATCTATCACACAGACTAGCACTCAAACATCTATCACTCAGCTATCACCTACTATGATATCTAATCAGCACAGACTAGCACTCTCTAACATCTATCAGCTCAGACTAAGCACGCTACTAACATCTCCTCAGCACAGACTAGCAACCTGCCTAACATCTAACAGCTCCAGATAGCACTCTACTCACATCTATCATCCTCAGACTAGCACTTCTGCTAACATCTAAACAGCTCGACTAGCACTCAGCTAACATCTATCAGCTCAGACTAGCACGTCTGCTAACACTATCAGCTCAGACTAGCAACTCTACTAACTCTATAAGCTCAGACTACACTCACTTAAGCACTATCATTCACGAGACTAGCACTCTCTACTAACAGCTATCAGCTCAGACTAGCACTCTACTAAAATCTAACACTCATCTAGCATACAGTTTCTAACAACTCAGCTCAGACTAGCACTCTACTAACATCTATCAGCACAGACTAGCACTCTACTAACATCTATCAGCTCAGACTAGCACTCTACTAACATCTATCAGCACAGACTAGCACTCTACTAACATCTATCAGCACAGACTAGCACTATACTAACATCTATCAGCACAGACTAGCACTCTACTAACATCTATCAGCACAGACTAGCACTATACTAACATCTATCAGCACAGACTAGCACTATACTAACATCAGCTCAGACTAGTACTCTACTAACATCTATCAGCTCAGACTAGCACTCTACTAACATCTATCAGCACAGACTAGCACTATACTAACATCTATCAGCACAGACTAGCACTATACTAACATCTATCAGCACAGACTAGCACTATACTAACATCTATCAGCACAGACTAGCACTATACTAACATCTATCAGCACAGACTAGCACTATACTAACATCTATCAGCACAGACTAGCACTATACTAACATCTCTCAGCACAGACTAGCACTATACTAACATCTCTCAGCTCAGACTAGCACTCTACTAACATCTATCAGCTCAGACTAGCACTCTACTAACATCTATCAGCTCAGACTAGCACTCTACTAACATCTATCAGCACAGACTAGCACTCTACTAACATCTATCAGCTCAGACTAGCACTCTACTAACATCTATCAGCTCAGACTAGCACTCTACTAACATCTATCAGCACAGACTAGCACTCTACTAACATCATCAGCTCACAGACTAGCCACTCTACTAACATCTATCACACAGACATCAACTCTACAAACATCTATCAGCACGACTAGCACTCTACTAACATCTAACAGCTCAGACTGCACTCTACTAACATCTATCAGGGCACAACTAGCACTCCTAACTAACAACTATCAGCTCTCACGACTAGTCACTCCACTAACATCTATCACACAGAACTAGCACTCCTACTAACATCTAACACCAGACTAGCACTCTACTAACATCTATCAGCTCAGACGTAGCACTCTACTTAACATCTATCAGCACCGACTAGCAACTCTCCTAACATCTTTCAGTCAGACTACACTCTACTAACAGTCTATCAGACACAGTGACCTACACTCTACTAACATCTATCAGCTCAGACTAGCACTCTACTAACATCTCTCAGCACAGACTAGCACTCTGCTAACATCTATCAGCTCAGACTAGCACTCTACTAACATCTATCAGCTCAGACTAGCACTCTGCTAACATCTATCAGCTCAGACTAGCACTCTGCTAACATCTATCAGCTCAGACTAGCACTCTGCTAACATCTATCGAGCACAGACACACTCTGCAACAATCTATCAGCTCAGACTAGCACTCTGCTAACATCTATCAGCTCAGACTAGCACTCTACTAACATCTATCAGCACAGACTAGCACTCTACTAACATCTATCAGCTCAGACTAGCACTCTACTAACATCTATCAGCTCAGACTAGCACTCTGCTAACATCTCAGCTCAGACTAGCACTCTACTAACATCTATCAGCTCATACTAGCACTCTACAAAACAACTATCAGCACAGACTAGCACTATACTAACATCTATCAGCACAGACTAGCACTATACTAACATCTATCAGCACAGACTAGCACTATACTAACATCTATCAGCACAGACTAGCACTGATACTAACAATCGTATCAGCACAGACTAGCACTATACTAACATCAGTCGACCGACTATCACTATTACTAACTATCTATCAGCACAGACCTAGCACTATACTAAATCTATCAGCTCAGGACTAGCTCTCTACTACATCTATCAGCACTAGACTAGCACTATACTAACATCTATCCAGGCACAGACAATCACTATAACTAACATCTATCCGCACAGAACTAGCACGATACTATCATCTATCAGCACAGACTAGCCACTATATCTAACATTATCAGCACAGACTGGCACAAAAACTAACATCAGCACAGGACTAGCACTATATCTAACATCTATCAGCACAACTATAGCACTATACTAACATCTATCAGCACAGACTAGCACTATACTAACATCTATCAGCACAGACTAGCACTATACTAACATCTATCAGCACAGACTAGCACTATACTAACATCTATCAGCACAGACTAGCACTATACTAACATCACTCAGCACAGACTAGCACTATACTAACATCTATCAGCACAGACTACACTATATCTATCATCATATCAGCACAGACTAGCACTATACTTAACATCTAGATATAATATGGGCTGCGGAAAATGGTAAGTATTAGAGAATAATAGAAAACAGCCAACTAGATGAGAGATAGTAAACCATCCTGAGTGATAGTTTGACACTAGCATGCGTAAGTGGGTGAGCTAGTGATGGTTTTTTGTGATGGGTGTTTAGTGATGGTGTTGTGATGGTGTGTTATGATGGGTGTTTGATGGGTGTTTAGTGATGGGTGTTAGGTGATGGGTGTTAGTGATGGTGTTAGTGCTGGGTGTTAGTGATGGTTTTAGTGATGGTATTAGTGATGGGTGAGCTAGTGATTGGTTGCTATGATGGTGTGCTAGTGATGGGTGTGCTAGTGATGGGTGTGCTAGTGATGGTGTATTAGGGATGCGAACAGGTCATGACTCACTCGTATCACCTGACCATTGGGCTCGCCCGCCGCCCAGTTGGTAAAAGTTACTGCAGTCTGATCAAGCCAATGGAATCCCTTGGCGTTCAACATTCCTAGGAACATGTTGACGGGCATGGTCTTCAAGACAGCGGTCAGGTAGGCTGGTGAGAAGAAGGAACTTGTCAGACGTAATATGTGATAGGTGTTAGTTGACTGCTGTGGGTAGCAGTCTAAGGATGGGTGATGCACCTCGTATTGTACTGGATTTACAGTTAATCAACGAAGGGATTTTGTCATACCTTTACGGTATTAAATTGGTATTCAATATTTTAAAACAACCAAAAGAATAACATAAATATTGAGGGTTCCTGTTACCTTGTTCAGCAGGAGAGTGTATGCTAGCCAGGTCTGCGCCTACACTCAGATTTCTGCAAGAAGATCGAGCATCACTGAAGTTCTTCTTGTCTGTGAACATTTGCACGCATTTGTCACCTGTGTAACACAAGCAACTGTGAACGCAGTGTCGCAGATGTCTAAGTCTAATCAAAGGCAACATACAGAACACTTCTCACACTTGGGAAATTAGTACCAGATATTTTTTTCTGCTATAAAACGTAAATTTTATAATATATATATATATATATATATATATATATATATATATATATATATATATATATATATATATATATATATATATATATAAATATATATATATATATTTTATTGAGAGCATATCTTGTACAGACAAACATAATATATATAGAATAGACATACTGAGAACAGTAAGTACACAAAGAAAATATCACACACACACACACACGTTGTTGTACACAGGAAAAGAAACCCGACACAGAAAAACGATCAAATTTACAAGCACACTACACACCACTCAAGCAACCTGTCAGTATATATATGTGAAAAACACTTAACATTGTCATGTCTCACTTCAACATAAGTGTGACGTGGAAATATAAACACATATGCAGTATAATGTGATCCTTTATTGACTACGTTTCGCCCACACAGTGGGCTTTTTCAAGTCACAAACTGATCTGTTTGTGACTTTCCACGATAGTTCCTGACAATAGAACTGAACTTCTCCAGGCTGAGGGACTGACAACCTCAAATTCTACGACTTCAAGGGTGATGGACTGATTACATCATCTTCACATCTCTACTGTTCCTGCCTACTTTCTGTATTCGACTGAAGAAGCCTACTGTGTAGGCGAAACGTTTCGCCTAACTGTTGCCTATGTGTCTTACCTACCAACCTGTCGGTATTGTATACCATTTTGATGTTTATGAGTGTGACGTGCAGGGACCAAAACAGTACTCGTGTAGAGTTAAGTCAAGAAGACATTGCACATATATATTAATGTAACAAGAAAAACACATACCTAATAACTACCCCTATCCTGGGGTTAAATCATACAGAAGGATCTGTGTCCGCCGGAGCTACACACACCTCCGCCAAACACACTGGCCAATTACTGAATTAACATGTCGTTGTACACGTACAATTGATATATTATATAAGATTAAATATGCTATTAACAAAATTCAATATCACAGGCTTCTGTAACCTAGTGCGAACACGTAAATAAACTACCCTAACACAGCTATTCACTGTACAAAGTCAGTCACTTCAACATTCCCCCCGCTTCTTCCCCCTCATTTGGGCAACCACCCACTGTCTCTCGTCAGTATACATTACCCTGTCACTCATTCTCCTACCTTTACATGAGCATATAAGCCTGTCACATCGCAACAGTATCCCAATCACAACAAACCACACCCAAGCATTCTTACAGCATACATGCGTACAATACCTCTAAAAAATGGATGAACAATAGATTAAAATATCTGATTGGTCAAAAGAGAGGCATATATAGGCAAATCAAAACAGGAGAGGGGCAATTAAGAAATCGATATATTCAGTTAAAGAGAAATAAAAAAGGAATTAGAAAAGCAAAAAGAGATTATGAGGTTAAAGTTGCAAGAGAATCGAAGACTAACCCAAAAGGATTCTTTCAGGTATACAGAAGTAAGATCAGGGACAAGATAGGCCCACTCAAAAGTTCCTCGGGTCAGCTCACTGACAGTGATAAGGAATGTGTAGAATTTTTAACACATACTTCCTCTCAGTTTTTACACAGGAGGATACCAGCGATATTCCAGTAATGATAAATTATGTAGAACAGGACGATAATAAACTGTGCACGATTAGGGTCACAAGTGACATGTCCTTAGGCAAATAGATAAATTAAAACCTAACAAATCCCCAGGCCCTGATGACTGTATGAAGGGTTCTAAAGGAATGTAAAAGGAGCTTAGCAAACCTTGGCTAATCTTTTCAACATATCACTACAAACTGCATGGTGCCAGATAAGTGGAAAATGGCAAATGTGATACCTATTTTCAAAACAGGTGACAGGTCCTTAGCTTCGAATATAGACCAATAAGCCTAACCTCCACAGTGGGAAAATTTATGGAATCAATAATTGCCGAGGCAGTTCGTAGCCACCTTGAAAAGCATAAATTAATCAACGAATCTCAGCATGGTTTTACAAAGGGGCGTTCCTGCCTTACGAATTTATAACTTTTTTCACTAAGGTATTTGAGGAGGTAGATCATGGTAATGAATATGATATTGTGTATATGGACTTCAGTAAGGCTTTTGACAGGGTCCCACATCAGAGATATTGAGGAAAATTAAGGCACATGGAATAGGGGAGAATTTTTTTCTGGATAGAGGCATGGTTGACAAATAGGCAGCAGAGTTTGCATAAATGGGGAGAAATCAGAGTGGGGAAGCGTCACGAGCGGTGTTCCACAGAGGTCAGTGTTGGGCCCCCTGCTGTTCACAATCTACATTAATGACATAGATGGGGGCATAAAGAGCGACATCAGCAAGTTTGCCGATGACACCAAGATAGGCCGTCGAATTCATTCTGACGAAGACATTAGAGCACTCCAGGAAGATTTGAATAGACTGATGCAGTGGTTGGAGAAGTGGCAGATGCAGTTTAATATAGACAAATGCAAAGTTCTAAATGTTGGACAGGACAATAACCATGCCACATATAAACTAAATAATGTAGATCTTAATATTACGGATTGCGAAAAAGATTTAGGAGTTCTGGTTAGCAGTAATCTGAAACCAAGACAACAGTGCATAAGTGTTCGCAATAAAGCTAATAGAATCCTTGGCTTCATATCAAGAAGCATAAATAATAGGAGTCCTCAGGTTGTTCTTCAACTCTATACATCCTTGGTTAGGCCTCATTTAGATTATGCTGCTCAGTTTTGGTCACCGTATTACAGAATGGATATAAATGCTCTGGAAAATGTACAAAGGAGGATGACAAAGTTGATCCCATGTATCAGAAACCTTCCCTATGAGGATAGACTAAGGGCCCTGAATCTGCACTCTCTAGAAAGACGTAGAATTAGGGGGGATATGATCGAGGTGTATAAATGGAAAACAGGAATAAATAAAGGGGATGTAAATAGCGTGCTGAAAATATCTAGCCTAGACAGGACTCGCAGCAATGGTTTTAAGTTGGAAAAATTCAGATTCAGGAAGGATATAGGAAAGTACTGGTTTGGTAATAGAGTTGTGGATGAGTGGAACAAACTCCCGAGTACAGTTATAGAGGCCAGAACGTTGTGTAACTTTAAAAATAGGTTGGATAAATACATGAGTGGGTGTGGGTGGGTGTGAGTTGGACCTGATAGCTTGTGCTACCAGGTCGGTTGCCGTGTTCCTCCCTTAAGTCAAGGTGACCTGACCTGACTAGGTTGGGTGCATTGGCTTAAGCCGGTAGGAGACTTGGACCTGCCTCGCATGGGCCAGTAGGCCTGCTGCAGTGTTTCTTCGTTCTTATGTTCAACCAATACGTCCCTCACCCCCCCCTCCTTCACTTCTACTAACCACAAATGGGCTCGCCTCCCGGAGTTCATTACCTTTGTAACTTGTGAGTTCATTACCTTGTACCTAGTTCAGCCATCAAAACTTTGGAGCCCGGTCCCTGGACCCATTGTGTACCTCTGTAATCTGTAAATACCTTTGTAACTTGTAATGATTTTGACTAGACCTACCTGGAGTTCATTACCTTTGTAAATTGTGAGTTCATTACCTTTGTAAATTGTGAATTCATTGCCTCTGTAACTTGCTCAGCTATCAAAACTTTGAGGCCCAGTCCCTGGACCCATTATGTACCTCTAATCTTTTGACTACCGCCCACAGGATGGGTATGGGGTGCATAATAAACATATTAAACTAATAAATCCCGGAGTAGGACTCCCACCCCTTCCTTCAAGCGTCCTGTCTGCATCACAAAAGCCCTATATTCATTCACCTCCAATACACGCCCCACCTTGATATTGTGCTCGTGCACATATACAACATCCACTCTATGCCGGCACAAGAAACTTGCAAACCACGTACGCTTCACATCCTGACACAAACCATTAATGTTAACTGTCATACACCTTAGGCCAGCGGTGGTTTCTTCTCCCTGTGCTTTGACACCTTCCTCACAACGCCACCATGTCTTTTCGGACCTCCTTTATGCATGTCTACTGGCAGCCATAACCTCTCCCCGGTCCAGCTCCGGGTCCAAAGTCCCCGAGGGACCACCACCATCCTCCACCACTACTACCTTGCCGGTCCTCTGTGCTGGAGTCAGGACATCATCTGAATCCGATGTCACAGCCTCACGCTTGCGCGTGACTCCACCTGTTTCCATCTTCACCTCCTGTGATACCTCACGGTGAACCTCCACCTCCACCACATGCCCAACCTTCCCCCCATCTGGGCACATTGCCCCGTGAGACACCAAGTCAATGGGCTCATTTTGCTGTCCACACAGGTCTGCAGCATTCCTCACATCAGCCCTCGTCGCCGACTCGCCCTTCCCATCGGACTGGGGAAACAGCGAGGTGAGCACCGTCTCTAGGACCTCGTCGATGGCTTCCTCCGCCGAACCATGCCGTCCCCCACAATCAGGCAAAATGGGTCCCACAGGGCCCCCAGCCACAGGGGCCGTCAGGTCCGCACCGGCCACTGCCTCTATTCGCTCCACCTCCTCACTCCACAGACGACCAGGCCCACGTCCTTCCTGTAGCTCCAGAGCACGTCCAACTTGCCCAGATTCCCCTGCGGCAGTACATTCCAAACCATGAAGTCGAGTCTGTTGTCCACAATATGCAGCAATGTGATCATAACCACCACAACGCCTGCAGGTCCTGCGTTGCCCAGCATAGAACACCATGAGCTGAATCCAGAAGGCCTCCAATATAACATATGATGGTATGGGGTGCCGTATCGTCATTTTCAGTGAAAACGTGCCCTCTGGGTATCCCACGTATGCACCTTCCACCCACTTGCTGGGCTGTGCCAGGTGAGCGGTCCCGTAGTTCTTGAAAACATTGCGTATGTCCGTTTCATCAGCCTCAAACGGTACATTTCGCACTCTAACACAAGTATAATGCCTGGAGACGTCATGAAGGCGGACACTCACCATAGAACTGACGTCCACTCGTACATCCTAGTATTTCTCTACCAGCCTCTCATAGACGCCGGTGTTCAACAACTTAACAAACACCCTGTATGCACCATTAAGTGCAACACCATACGTATCCCGGATGATTATTGGCAACAGCACAGGAGCAGCTTGCGGTGAAATCGCCCCACGAACCAGCTGGATGCTCACAGTATTTACCCTCCTCCTTACACTCTGCGCCATATTGGAAGAAACAGGAAGTCTTCCAACCGCCGAGACAGAGCAGCAGGCGCACGTCTGCTCACCCCAACGGACGAGCAGAGAATCTATCAAACGTAAATTGATGAATACTAACACATAGCAGCTGACAGTTTGTCAGTCAAAAGAAAGGCAGAAGTGGAAATGAGGTAAGGAACATACCTATGTAGATCTGTCTCAGAGTAGTGGTCAGCTGTCAGCGGGATGCTGCGGGAGGGAACGTGATAGCAGTGACCAGTGGGATGGTGTGTGAGGGAGGGAACGTGATAGCAGTGACCAGTGGGATGGTGTGTGAGGGAGGGAATGTGATAGCAGTGACCAGTGGGATATGTGAGGGAGGGAATGTGATAGCAGTGACCAGTGGGATATGTGAGGGAGGGAATGTGATAGCAGTGACCAGTGGGATGGTGTGCGAGGGAAGGAATGTGATAGCAGTGACCAGTGGGATGATATGTGAGGGAAGGAATTTGATAGCAGTGACCAGTGGGATGGTGTGTGTGTGGGAGGGAATGTGATAGCAGTGACCAGTGGGATGGTGTGTGTGGAAAATACTGTATATATTTTCCAGAAATACAGTAGTTATATGTAAATAGATGGCCATACTGTATTTAATAACATTTATGTCATAAAAAAATGAGAATTTTTTTCTGCGCCTGCACAGAGGGGAGTCGCCATTGTTGTTTGAATTGAACAGAATGTTAGTTAATAATGGGAAGAATTTTCGTGCTCTAGAGGTTAAAATTGGGCTGACACCTCTCAAATAGGAGGCGAAATTGTTGGATGTGCATTCCTGCATAACTTGAGATATCAGACGACTGGACAAGACAGCTCCAGGAACCTCAGATAAGCTATTTAGATTTATGTTATAATTCTGGCCAGTAATTTCATAAATTTAGTTAGTGAGGTTTTCTGAGTATGATACACCTTAATCTCCAGTCAAATTGGTGAGTGATATTAAGATATTCTCTTTCTGTTATGTGTATGTGTATATATATTATCCTTTTTTTAATTTTAATATACAGTCCACAAATTTATATATTTACCAGCATTCCTGGTGATGTATATTTCATTTATAATTAATAGGTCCAGAGCAACTTGTGGATATGACAGTGGTAGGTATCGAAGGGGGACATTTTTGCGACCTAGGTGTCCCAAATTCCTACTTGTCTAACTGATAAATAATAATTATCTTTGTTCATTTACTGTTATGTACATAATGATACATTCAGATAAATGCAATTTTCCACAGTGTGTGTGGGAGGGAATGTGATAGAAGTGACCAGTGGGATGGTGTGTGAGGGAGGGAATGTGATAGCAGTGACCAGTGGGGTGGTGTGTTGAGGGAGGGAATGTGATAGCAGTGACCAGTGGGATGGTGTGTGAGGGAGGGAATGTGATAGAAGTGACCAGTGGGATGGTGTGTGAGGGAGGGAATGTGATAGCAGTGACCAGTGGGATGGTGTGTGAGGGAGGGAATGTGATAGCAGTGACCAGTGGGATGGTGTGTGAGGAAGGGAATGTGATAGCATGACCAGTGGGATGGTGTGTGAGGGAGGGAATGTGATAGCAGTGACCAGTGGGATGGTGTGTGAGGGAGGGAATGTGATAGTAGTGACCAGTGGGATGGTGTGTGAGGAGGGAATGTGATAGCAGTGACCAGTGGATGGTGTGTGAGGGAGGAATGTGATAGCAGTGACCAGTGGGATGGTGTGTGAGGGAGGGAATGTGATAGCAGTGACCAGTGGATGGTGTGATGAGGAAGGGAATTGATAGCAGTGACCAGTGGGATGGTGTTGAGGGGGGGAATGTGATAGCAGTGACCAGTGGGATGGTGTGTGAGGGAGGGAATGTGATAGCAGTGACCAGTGGGATGGTGTGTGAGGGAGGGAATGTGATAGCAGTGACCAGTGGGATGGTGTGTGAGGGAGGGAATGTGATAGCAGTGACCAGTGGGATGGTGTGTGAGGGAGGGAATGTGATAGCAGTGACCAGTGGGACGGTTTGTGAGAAGAGTGTAAGAAGACGTACCTATGTGCATCCAACCAGGATAGCAGTGGCCAGCAGGAGGTGGGGTAGGTACTACAGAAGGGAGAGTAGTGCCGTGTTTCCTCTTACAGACACGACCCTCCACGTAGCCACAGTTCTGGTCGTTCCAGTACCCGTGTTTGTGGTTGTAGATCACGAGGCAGTCCTCTTGTTCTGTACAGCAACATGAAGAAGAAAGAACATCACTGAGTTGTTGTGACGAGAAGAAAGACAACAGTGTCTGTCTATTGACAGACATAACTTGAACACTGCACAATAACAATCCACGTCACTTCACCCGTTTTCTAATAATATATAATTTCTACCACGTCCATAATTACTATCACATCTACAATGTGTTCTTTCATAAGGTGAAGTCCAGGATCTTTCCTTAATTCATGGTATAACTTAGCAAATCTTTCAGGACAATTGTGTTGCGGAGGTCTGAGCTGAGCTTAGACCTCCGCAACACAATTGTATGAGAAGGGGGTGCAAAGGAGCCCCCCAGAATGTAGGTCAGCCACTGGTAACCACCATCTATGATTCATAACTCACACTAGTACAACATGGTGCAGCATGACACAGGCTATTACAACATGGTGCAGCATGACACACTAGTACAACATGCTGCAGCATGACACACACTAGTACAACATGGTGCAGCATGACACTAGTACAACATGGTGCAGCATGACACACACTAGTACAACATGGTGCAGCATGACACTAGTACAACATGGTGCAGTATGACACACTAGTACAACATGGTGCAGCATGACACACACTAGTACAACATGGTGCAGCATGACACAGGCTATTGCAACATGGTGCAGCATGACGCACACACTAGTACAACATAGTGCAGTAATAAAGTTGGTAGAATTACCGACAATATGTAAAGTAAAAGGACACAAGTGCAACTAATGTGACATTTATTGTGGCAACGTTTCGCTCTCCAGGAGCTTTATCAAGCCATTACAAACAATACACGGACACAGATGGTATATAAAGGCTCAGAGTGAGGTGCAATACTAGTGGGGTACCATTTCGATGTTCACTAGTGGTAGTGGTAGTAGTAGTAGTAGTAGTCGTAGTGACAAAAGTAATACAATATGGTAGAGCAATTAATTCGTACATGCGTAAAAGGGTGTGTGTGTGTGTGTGTGGGTGTTGGTGTGTGTGTGTGTGGGTGTGTGTGTGTGGGTGTGCGTCCTTGTGTGTATGCATATATTTGTACGCTCGTGTGCACATGTCCGTGCGTGCGCCCTCGTGTGTGTAATGTGCGCGCGCGCTCGTGTGGGTGTATGATCCACTTAATATTTGTATTTATAACTCATTACAATTGTGACCAGGTATGGACGTATCAGTGGTTCATTACTTTGTAATTTGTTCATGACTGTAACCATGTATAGGAGTGAAGCTGATTCATTACCTCTGTAACTTGCCATGATTAGTGACCAGATCTACCTGGAGTTCATTACCTTTGTGACTAGTTCAGCTATCATAACTTTGGGGTCCAGTCCCTGGACCAATTATGTACCTCTGTAATCTTTTGACTACCGCCCACAGGATGGGTATGGGGTGCATAATAAACATATTAAACTAACTAACGTAAAAGGATATAAAAGCTATTACTTGGGTAACAAAAATATAAAAATAGGTTGGACAAATATAGAGTGGAAAGAGGCAGCTTGTTCACTCTCTGTAATGTGCTTTGTGTAGTATAACAGGAGAGACTATGTGATGGCAGGGTTTACTGTTTTCAGGAGGATTCTTGCTAAGACTTCGGAGATGGTGAAGCTGCCGTTGTTTTGTTTAATTGTATTTGAAACAGCGATCAGTGCTGATTCGAGGCACTTGCGTCTGCGGAAATTAGTTTCTTTGATCACTAATTGGGCGTCTCTGAATTTCATGAGAAGATTGGTGGAATTTCGGTGTTGTACACAGGCGTTGTTCAAGTTATCGTTCCTACATGCGTAAATGTGTTCATTGAGGCGGGTGTCGAGGTTTCTTGCTGTTTCACCTACGTAAATCTTGTCACAGCCTCCACAGGGAATAGTGTAAACTCCTGCATTGACTGGTTCGTGGTGCTTGGATTTTGTCCTGGTTAGATCCTTTATTGAAGTGCTAGAAGCGATGGCGACTCTGGTGTTAGCTTGTGAAAGTACTTTTGAGACGTTTAGTGCAACCTGACTGTTGGGAAGAATTATAACTTTGTTGGGAGCGGTGTTGATGCGTGGAGAATTAATGATCTGAAGAGCTCTTTTCTTGCAGTCTTTGATGAAAAACGAAGGAAAATGTAACTCAGTGAATGTTTGGTGAATGTAAGTACATTCCTCGTCAAGAAACTCAGGACTACAAATTCGGTATGCTCTTAGGAAAAACCCGATGATGATGCCTCTTTTGGTCTTGGTATCTTGACTGGAATAGAAGTGTGTGAGATCAATTTTATTGGTGGGTTTCCCCATAAACTTGAAATCTTAGGTTGTTGTCTACTTTGTGAATGAGGACGTCGAGGAAAGGTAGCTTGTCATTGGACTCTTCTTCTAGTGTAAACTGGATCGCCGGTTCAACTGCGTTGAGCCTTGCCTGAAGATCCCGTACATCAAAACGTTTTGGAGTTATTACGAGACATCGTCCACGTAACGTAACCAAGTGACGCTTGAAGGGATGATGTTGGCGAAGTGTTCGGACTCTAGGTGTTCTGTATAAGTTGGCTAGGACGGCAATTATGGGGGACCCCATTCCCATGCCGTAGGTTTGTTTGTAGAGCTTGTTATTGAAAAAAAAAACAGTTGAAATTAACACAGAGTTCAATCAAGTCAACAAAATCTCCGGGAGGTAGAGGAAGATTAAGGTCCTGATTGACTTTACGTCGTAGAACCTCGATTGCTTTTTTGGTAGGAAACTTTTGTGAAGAGGGAAGTCACATCCAAACTGCTTAGTTTCTTGTTACGGATGGAGAGGTTACGGATGCGGTTGAGAAGGTCGCCTGAGTGTTTAAGATGAGCGGGGCTGATGGTCCCCAGAAGGCAGGAAAGATGTTTGGCAAGAACTCCGGCTAGTTGTGTGGAGCACTGCCTATTCCTGACGTGATAGGTCTGAGAGGAATATTGTGTTTATGGGTCTTGGGTAAACCATACATGTGTGCTGGTTTAGGGTTGCTTGGTAACAAGTACAGAAGTTTCTTCCCTTCTCTAGTGCGTTTGAGTATTTGTCTGGTTTTGTATAGAAAATCTTTGGTGAGCGTCTCCCACTGTTGAGTGCTGATGGGTTCGTATGTAGATTGATCATTCGAAAGGTCCATCATTTTAGTGTTGTAGTCACTGGTGTTGAGTATGACGACTCCACCTCCTTTGTCGGCGGTGGTGACGATAATGTTGGGGTCGTTGGCGAGGTTCTTAAGGGCAGTGATGTATCGTCTAGGAAGATTAGAAGTAGAAGGTTCACATAAAGCTGCAGCGAGAAGGCCCTGTATATAACCCTTCTGGAAGTTGCTGTCACTGTCTATGGTTCCTGGTAACTAGATTGAGTTGATAGTTAGGTTTGCGTATGTTGGTGGTAAATTTGAGTCCCAGACTCAGTGCTTGTTTTTCGTAGTCGGTTAAGATGCGTGACGATAAGTTGTTTATCAGGGATTCGCGTCCCATTTCCTTCCATCGACTGTTAGTGCAGAGGTACTGAAGTTTGCGATTGAGTTTGATCTTCTGTTGGAGGTTAGCTGTGGTGACTGTGCTGATAATATGCTCAGCAGTGTGTTGGTCAATCTGAAGATTGGCCCTCATATTCCTTGCAGTTTGAAAGGTTTCCTTAGCGATGTTAGAAAGTTCTTCGGCACATTCAGTTAAGTAAGCTTGGGTAGCTGGAGAGAAGGGGTGCTTGGAGTTGGAGAGTTGTGCGGGAGTAGACTTAGGGATCACCTCTGCCAGGCAATCTTGTAGGAAGTTGTGTCTGTTGCGATAGCTGTGAGCACGAAGAAGGGTGTCCAAATAACGTCTGCATGAAATGTCCATTATGTTGCGGTGTCCGACAGATTGTAATAAAGTTGGTAGAATTACCGACAATATGTAAAGTAAAAGGACACAAGTGCAACTAATGTGACATTTATTGTGGCTTTATCAAGCCATTACAAACAATACACGCACACAGAGGGTATATAATGGACATTTAATGCAGACGTTATTTGGACACCCTTCTTCGTGCTCACAGCTATCGCAACAGACACAACTTCCTACAAGATTGCCTGGCAGAGGTGATCCCTAAGTCTACTCCTGCACAACTCTCCAACTCCAAGCACCCCTTCTCTCCAGCTACCCAAGCTTACTTAACTGAATGTGCCGAAGAACTTTCTAACATCGCTAAGGAAACCTTTCAAACTGCAAGGAATATGAGGGCCAATCTTCAGATTGACCAACACACTGCTGAGCATATTATCAGCACAGTCACCACAGCTAACCTCCAACAGAAGATCAAACTCAATCGCAAACTTCAGTACCTCTGCACTAACAGTCGATGGAAGGAAATGGGACGCGAATCCCTGATAAACAACTTATCGTCACGCATTTTAAACCCGACTACGAAAAACAAGCACTGAGTCTGGGACTCAAATTTACCACCAACATACGCAAACCTAACTATCAACTCAATCTAGTTACCAGGAACCATAGACAGTGACAGCAACTTCCAGAAGGGTTATATACAGGGCCTTCTCGCTGCAGCTTTATGTGAACCTTCTACTTCTAATCTTCCTAGACGATACATCACTGCCCTTAAGAACCTCGCCAACGACCCCAACTTTATCGTCACCACCGCCGACAAAGGAGGTGGAGTCGTCATACTCAACACCAGTGACTACAACACTAAAATGATGGACCTTCTGAATGATCAATCTACATACGAACCCATCAGCACTCAACAGTGGGAGACGCTCAAAGATTTTCTATACAAAACCAGACAAATACTCAAACGCACTAGAGAAGGGAAGAAACTTCTGTACTTGTTACCAAGCAACCCTAAACCAGCACACATGTATGGTTTACCCAAGACCCATAAACACAATATTCCTCTCAGACCAATCACGTCAGGAATAGGCAGTGCTCCACACAAACTAGCCGGAGTTCTTGCCAAACATCTTTCCTGCCTTCTGGGGACCATCAGCACCGCTCATCTTAAAC